CCACAGCGATGGCACTGCACACGCATTGCTCCAGTCGCGGGCTCCTGCCGCGGCATCGGTCCTGGCCCGTAGGGTGAGAACGGAGGCGCTGTGTCGCACGAGTACTGTCGGTCCCGGCAGTACGACGGGTCTAGCGCAGCTGGATGCAGTGGCCAGTGATAAGTCGGCGGTGCCGGTGGGGCAGCAGCAAACGAAGCGAACGACGCCGTCGCCATAGTGTTCGGCTGCGGCAGTGAGCGATGGTCGGGGGCCTGGCTAGGGCGGAACACCAGATCTCTGGCTACTTGGTTGCTCGGAAGTGGCGGTGGTCTGTACTGAAGGCGACGCCAAGCCCGCTCCATTAGGCCGTCGGCTGCCTTCGCCAACTCGGCGAGGTCGTTGTAGGCATGCCCCTCCGCCAAATCTTGCAACTGAGGGTGCATCTGCCTCAGTACGCGCTGCAGCTTCTCGGCTTCGGAGACCTCTTCCCCGATGCGGTCGTAAAAAGTAGCGATCGCATATATAAACTCCTTCAAATTTTCTTCCGGGTGCTGCGTGCGCTGTTCGAGCTCCGCCTTCAGGCGACGCTTCGCGTCAATCGACGAGAACTCGGAGCGGAAGGCGGCGGTGAATTGCTCCCACGAGTCGAACCCGCGCACGAACCGCCACCACAACTTCGCGCCACCCTCGAGGGCAGCCGGTACCACGTGTGTCAGTCGCTTATCGGCGGCGACCCCCGTCACGAGGCAGAAGTTTTCCAAACGTTCGAGAAACTCCTCCGGCGACTGCAAGTCTCTAGCACCGGAGTAGCGGGGGAGGTGCGCAGCGGCGAGCCGAGGCGCATAGTCGTCGGTGGCCCGAGGGGCCGCGCCAGTGTTTGCGGCCCCATTCCATGCTCCCACGTGCGCAGCCGTGGGCAGCGGCGTCGCCATCACTCGATCGCGCACGACCGCCGCGATTCGTTCGCGCTCCATGGCGGAGCCGTCGGTGCCCAGCAACAGCTCTTCAACGAGACCTTGGAGCCTAGGCATGTCGTCCGCTGCTGTTGTCGGGCCTGAAGCCATCCCGGACGAGCCCCCACTTGTCACGCGCTAACCCTAACTCGCACACCACACACCGCTACGTCTTGCCACTCCCTCCAACCAGCCCGAACTCTCTCTTCCCCACACACGCAACCCCCACCACTCCAGTCCCAATGATGATGATGACGCCGTCACGTAGTGTCCTCTCTCGGCCAAGTCCCGATGATGATGACGCCGTCACGTAACGCCCTCTCTCGGCCACCCTCACATATGTTATAAAGAAAAATATGCAGTGTGCCGTAAATCGGGAAAATGATCACAGGTTTTACTATTTCGAACAACAAGCAGACTACAGACATGAACACTACAGCCCAAAGGAATGTACGCTGCGATGCTTTATTCGGCACGATCACACTTGAAGACTGGCCAAGTTCTTTAAATGACAACAAAATTAGCCCATAACAAAATTAGCCTTTTCAATAGTACGGTCCATGCGAAGGGATGATCGTGCCCCCGAAAAAAAAGAAAGGCCAGATCCCATGCACTGCAGTAATCTATGGAGAGCGAAACGGCCAGTGAGGCGCAGTATACACAGCATTGCTTGGCTTCGAGACAAGTGAAGACATTCATGTTTTCAGGTGAAAGCCTTAGAACCACCCCACGAAACGCGAAAATTGACCGTTGGCGGCATCAATACAAGTGACGCAAAAAATCATCAAGCTATGACGTCAGAGACGCGTCACCACCACAAATTGCCAGATTATGTGACGTCACCATGACGTGGCGCCATCATGATGAAGTGATCACATCGTACTGTCACTTGTTCGAAGATGCTCCCATCACGGAGGCAGTGCAAGGCCAGATGAGGTGCAGAAATCTTGCAATGCCTCCGATCCCGGAGGCAATGCAGAGCTACGTTACGTGCAAAGGGTTTGCGGAAGGGGTCGGGGGAAGATCAATACATCCACTGAGAAGGCAAAAAGATATGGCTTTTGCCTTTGGGTGGTCTTCGGCGAATGCGTGAGAGACCCTGACGGTTTTATGATATCCACGGTGGCCTGTTTTTCATGCATGCATGAAAGGCAGTCGCGCCTAATATCAGTTGCAACACGCTCGCTGGGGTTAAGGTGACCTCGAGCCTCAACATTGACGATGACAAATCTTAGATTGGTTCAGAAAGTGCGGCTAGTTTGGAGAGCTTTGCTCAACATTTTTTTTTCTATGTAGGTGCGACTTGTTGGCTCCATGTATAAGTACAGACAGCGTGTTGCAACTCGTATTGAGCGCGACTGTACATTATCGCAGGTACCTTATGCCATGGGCTCTCAAGTGTGTTGGTTCCAGGGAACCATGCTAAGTTCCATTTACCATGAACAGCAAGATTTCTGGGAAAAAATTTTTTAAGAACATTACTTTCAAGAATAGCTTCAGTTTCTCTAACATACTCTGGAATAACAAAGACAAATTGGATCCGCCTGCTCCTATCCTCCAGAATAGTCAACTTCGCCTGGCGTAGTTTTATGGAACGTTCAAGGTTACCCACCCGTGAGGCTGGTCTTTCCAATTGAATCGGGCTTTCCAATCAGCGATAAACTTTTTCATGTAATTATGTTGTTCCCTGAGCTCAGTTACGTCTACTGACAACATGTTCTGGCCACACAGCAGCTCCTTCAACACGGATGCGATATAAGCACCATCACTGTTAGTGAGGCTGATATTTGACTTGACGTCACCGCATAACAGCAATGAAAATACACAGTATGCATCACAAGCATTAGAAGCACAACGTTGGCGACTCGGCAAGACCAAAAGACCGTGGTAATTACTCCTAATCGTGCCATGGCGGCAGAGGTGTAGTATGAATAACATTATTAAGGTCCCGAGGAACAATCCAAGAGTGATGCTGGCTGCTCCCTCTTCAAGACAGAGGCCAAGCCCCTCTGCCACCCTATGAACAGCCCTGAGTTGGTCCGTCAGCACGTCACTCTGCGGCATTTGCTGCCCCCACCGTTCACCGTAAGAAGCATCACCGGCCAATGCCGAGCAGCGCCAGAGCATGTGGTAAAAATCGAGCAAGCCCCCACACTTACAAGAGATCAAAACCCCGCAGTCCGGATTAATTTTATTCATGATGACCGGGTTAGAGTACGTCCGCGTCTGCAGAAGTCGTAATGTAACCGCCTGCCCCTAAACTCAAGAGGAGGAGATTCAGCTGCTTCGGGGATGACACGGCACACTACTCCTCGTGCCTGCCGGTGCATGGCCACGATGGGGTTACGTGGGGTTTCCTTCACTGACAGAATTTTTTTTTTGGGGGGGGGGGGGGTTCAGTTATACATACCTTATGTATGTTTGTGCGTGCATGTATGTATACGCAAGTAAAATTGCTTGGTTAAGCCGTTGCGTAACAGCTACTAGCCTGTATGAGATAGCAAAATGGTTTATACCGCATATTCATCGATGGTCCGCTGCGCTCACAACAGGCGTGGGTCTGGAGCTGGTGACATTTTAACGGATGCACCTATGTCACGTGAACCACGAGTGGTGCCACGAGCAGTGCGTCCCAAATAGGCGAAGGTGAGGCGTCGAACCAGCAGAGACGCAACATGGAGGTCATAGTTGGGGCCCAAGTGCCCGTGACGAAGTCAGGCATTGTTACGACCGGGTTTTGCAGGTACCGGAGGTCCGGGATGAAGTTGTCGAGGCAGGAGGAAGAGAGACTTGAGGAGGGTTTATTTACATTATGTACAAGGTGATCTCTCGTACATGACGAGCTCTTTCTTACACGGTAAGCTCTCGAATCTGGCGTTCCTCTCCATGGCGCTTCGAATGAGCTGGGTGGCTCATAATAAAGGGTATGTGCCCCCCAGATCCCCAGATCAGAAAACACGCGCAGATGGTGCTGTCCAATCACAGATCACACACAGCGGGTGAGGGTGAAGGGCATGCACGGCCCACGTGAACGTCCAATATTGAGCCGTGGTCACTGCATTCCAAGGTGGCGCCAGGGGGGCTCTTCCTCGTCGTGTGTGTGCCGCTGGTCGAGGGGTCCCAAACTCATGACAGCATGCATCAAAGGGTCCACCGATCTGTTCACTCAATTAGCGGAGCGATTTGCGGCGGTCGCCGCAGCTTCTTTCAAGGAAGCTGCCGCAATTGCCGTCTCCCGAACCGACTATACGGCGTCGTGGCGACACGACGCCTCACCCTCCATCTAGGAGGGACAATAACTGGCGGGCATAGGCAGCCGACCGGTCGGTTGTTTGAGGATACAAAGAGCGCCGCTCCCTCGACAGCTCGGGCGCCAGTCACAACAGCATATAGATGTGACTGGTCGATTGCCTTAAGCTTCGGCAGTTGCAAAAACGTTTATTCGGACAGACCATGAGCCTACCTGCGTTCTGCTACCCGCACGAAGTAGCAAAACGGTTTTAAGCTACGTGTTAGTCGATGGTCCGCCGTGCCCGTGCACCACCACCAAAGCAATTTAATGAAACGGCCTGCCCCTCCGCGGTGGCCACCACGGCGGATACTCGGCTGCTGACCCGCAGGTCGCGAGATCAAATCCAGGCGGCGGCAGCTGCATTTTCGATGGTGGCGGAAATGATGTAAACCCGTGTGCTCAGATTTGGGTGCACGTTAAAGAACCCCAGGTGGACGAAATTTCCGGAGCCCTCCACTAAGGCGTCTCTCATATAATGATATGGTGGTTTTAGGACGCTAAACTCCAAATATCAATCAATCAATGAAACGGCAGTGGAGGCATGAATACATGAGCAGATATATAGATAGATTGATAGAGTGCAAAAAACTGCATTAGTATTGAAAGGCACAAATACACCAGCGTTTTAGTTTTTCAATGGTGCGTCTCCCGTGTGATGAACTTCATAATTTTACTGAAGCGGTAGAGTAGCAAGTGTTCTTTTTTCAAGATATTTCCTAATCACCCAATATTGCTTTTTTTTTCAGCAAGGAACCGTAGCTTTCAAGTTCGGCCAAATGTACTTCACCATCCCGACCGTCAGAGTAAGCACACTTGTTTGTTTGTTTTCATTTATTTATTTTCATGTACAATTCGAAGTTGACCTGAAGCTTAGAGCCGCGCGATGCTTGTGTCAAGGATGATGTTGTGCATAATTAATTATTTAATTATTACTTAAATAAATAAATAAATAAATAAATAGTTTTTCAGCCTAAGAAACTGAATATCGGTGTACTCGAACTTGAACGAAACCCGTAGGTAACATGCAAATAAACAAAAACCCGTTGGCAGTTTGATAGTATCGCTTGGCACTATCGTTGGAAGTTCGGTGCAATAGGATTGATTTCACAAGTATTTCTAGGTAGATATGTGAAATAAAGATGGCGTGATGTTGTCTCATTGAATTGAATGTATACGTATGATAAATTTACGAGAACACAAACTTATTTTATGCCATGTGTAACACACAAAGGAAGAAATGATCAAAAACAGACTAAGTCAATCAATCAATCAATCAATCAATCAATCAATCAATCAACCAGTCCGTCCGTCCGTCCATCAATCCCATCCTATCCCATCCCATCCCATCCCATCCATCCATCCATCCATCCATCCATCCATCCATCCATCCATCCATCCATCCATCCATCCATCCATCCATCCATCCATCCATCCATCCATCCATCCATTCATCCATCCATCCATCCATCCATCCATCCATCCATCCATCCATCCATCCATTCATTCATTCATTCATCAATCAATCAATCAATCAATCAATCAATCAATCAATCAATCAATCAATCAATCAATTAAATAATCAATCAATCAATCAATCAACTAATCAATCAATCAATCACCCAATCAATCAATCAATCAATAAGGAGGCGGGAAGTTTCTTGTAATGGTAGTGGAAAACGCTTTAATCATGAGCGTAAACGCAGGTACCAGAGCGAAAAATGCCCCCACCTCTGCGAAGGAAATCGTGAGAAATTGCGAATGCATTGCGTAGCGTCTATAACGGCGTTTCACACGTGAGAACCCAGCGTTAGAAGAATAATGTTTTCTTTTTTCTCACACCGGTGCAGGCAAAAGCGCCGGTCGCCGCACGTGGCGTTTTTCTGTCGCGAGAAACGCGGTATGCGTTTCGAGCTCTAGTAGCCAGCGTGCGCGGTTAAAGAACACAATGAAGTGAACAAAACGAACAGCGTTCTCGGCTCGGCGTTGGCGTTTCGCAGCGCCGTTTTGAGCACACATTTTCAGATGTCCTGTGTGTGTTTAGAAGAAGTGGTTAATGATTTACAGTACTTGGTACTGTACTATGGGAGAGCTGAAAGCCGTCCAACTGTGTTCTTGAGAGGCGCCCAGCCAGCGAACGGCTGAGAATGAGGCGCGAGCTTGCGCCAGATTGCTAGGTTGCTTGGGACGCGCGTGCCCGCAGCTGTTGCTATGGCAGAGGGTGGAGGACGGATCCCGACGTACGCCTAACGTAGCCCGACGTAGAAATGCATTCGCATTTAAAAATAACCACTGCAAGGTCTCCCCGTACCTGCTTGTGCGTTCTAGCCCGGACCACAAACATGCCGGATACGAAAATAAAGTTTATTCATGATCATCATCATCATCTACTTGTTGCATGAACACGGTTCACAGCTGAAAAAGCAGTCAGTAGTTAACTGGCTCACTTTTATGGTTGGGGATGCAACGACGCAGGTGATGTTTGTCTTCGAGAAAGAAGACGACGCGCAGTACCAGACGCTCAGAGCGGCTGCCGAGAGAATGCACTACGAGTGCACGCTGGCCCTGAACACCGAGGAGGCGCTCAACTTCTACCTCGTGGCCCACCCGCACTTGGTGTTCGTCGACACGCGAGACGGCAACTCCACTGAATCGGTGACCTTGTGCAGGTTAAAAATTGAGGGACACCTCGTCAATTCCAGAGCGTGTTCGGCGAAAGTCTTTGGGCATTCGACTGAATGGGCCAAATCTGTATGGGTTTTTTGTTTTCGTGTTTTTGTTTTAACGCTGAGCGATCACGTGATCGATGAGAGGGCATAAGAGGAAGAGTCCGCTTGCTGCGTTGGTGCAACTGTTGATGTGTGCCATCACGTGTTTGCCGAGAGAGTGTGAGGAGGAAAGGACACAGCTGGCACTGCTCCAGCACACGGACGGACACGGATGCAAGTATGAGACACAAAAGGCTTTCGCCTCAATAATATCTGCGGTTTTACGTCACAAAACTACGATATGACCGTGAGAAACGTTGTAGCGGGGGGGCTCCGAAAATTTCGAGCATCTGGTGTTCTTTAACGCGCACGGCCATAGTACACCTAGCGTTTCGCCCCCATTGGAATGTGACCGCTGCGGCCGGGATCGAACCCGCGACCAGTGGGCCAGACGTCAAGCCCACAACTCCACGGCGGAGCTTGTGCAGGTGCCCCATCTTTAATACATCTGTTGGCTGACAGGGCCGCTTCGCGGGCTAGTGATCCTACTGTGCAATTCTATCAGAGTTATGGGGATATAATAGGTACGAGGTGCTTCTAAGTTCGTGGAAAGGTGTAGCAGCAGTCACCGCATTGTGTGTGTGTGTGTGTGTGTGTGTGCGTGTGTGTGTGAGTGTGCGCGCGTGTGCGTGTGTGTGTGTGTGTGTGTGGTTGTGTGTGTGTGTGCGTGTGTGTGCGCGCGTGCGTGTGTGTGCGTGTGCGTGCGTGCGTGTGTGCGCGCATGCGTCTGCGCGCGTGTGTCTGCGTGCGTGTGTGTGTTCGTGTGTGTGTGTGCGTGTGTGTGTGTGTGTGTGTGCGTGTGTGCGTGTGTGCGCGCGCGTGTGTGCACGTGCGTGTGTGTGCGTGTGCGTGCGTGCGTGTGTGCGCGCGTGTGTCTGCGTGCGTGTGTGTGTTCGTGTGTGCGCGCGCGTGTGTGTGTATGTGTGTGTGTGTGTATGTGTGTGTGTGTGTGTGTGTGTGTGCGTGCGTGCGTGCGTGCGTGTATGCGCCTGGAGTACTTCAACGCGACTACTAGTGGAATTGTGGCCTCTGATTAACCAACCCCTATGAGGTTTGCAAAAAAAAAAGAAACAAATTTTCAAAGTGTGTTCGACGAAAGCCTGTGGCTGTTCGACTGACTATGCTTACTCGAATGGTGCAACGAGTGATGTGACGAAGGCGCGTGGCCGCGCGCACCGCTGTGCCATAACGCGATTGCTGAGAGAGAGTGAAGTGGAGAGGTCACAGCTGGCGCCGTTCCCGGACACGGAAGAATGGCCGCCCGCGAGTATGAGCCATTAAATTCTTTCGCCTCAATTCACTGCTTCAACACTTTCGCTAATGTTCGTGCGAGTTAATGAATGCACAATAGCTGTATTCCAGCTCGGCTATCTTGGGGCAGTGGTAAGGGGCACCCGATGTGCGTTCGTGTTTAAGCACTGGGCAATGCTGTAACTCTGCTGCTAACAGGAGGTGGCGGGGTTCCATATCGACCGAATGAGCACAGAACAAAAATTGCAAGTTTTCTCTTTCAAACGCACATTCCTTTTGCTTGGAGACGAACACGGGGCACTATAGGAATCATATGTATTTACTTTTGTTTTACAGTGACGTTAATGTCTTAACGCTTGTTCCGCCACTTTGCTGTTAGTGGTATATGCTCGATCTCCTGACAACAGTTTTCATAAATAATACGTTTTCTTGCTGGTCGCTACCCGATAATCTAGGGGGTCCACAGGCATACACCGCATTCTTACTCAAGTGAAGTGCAGGAATCTGCGCCTGTTAACAGAGTTTCAAAGAAGATGCAGCTTTTTGGTTATGTATCACTTGAGGCAAGCGATATGCGAAGAACTGCGTGAAAAGAATTATAAAATATTGAGGTCGAAGAAATAGTTCGTGTCTTGGAAAGTGACACAGATGATACGTCGTTGAAGACGAAGTAAACTTAGTAAAGACAACTGCAGTATAGGATGACACACGCACACACACGTATACTTTCATAATACCTAAGAAGTTTAACCATGCTCCCCCCCCCCCCCTGTTACTCCTACGATGCGGGATACTTTAATTAGTACATGTCATACAGGAAATTATATTTGTCTCCACTTCTCTTACAGAATGCTGCGAAGTTTCAAGGGTTGCGAGTTCTCTTGCCTCGTCGCTGTCGTAAAGAAAGCGTAAGAACTACTTTCACTTTTCTTCGCCGCGAATCTTTTGGCTAGCTTTTGCCAACTGTTTTTGGTGTCAGGCAGGGCAGGCGTTTAGAGTCAGGTTATTTTCTCGTTTTGCATGTGTGTAGACATTTGTTACCTTGGCTCACTGTCATTCATGAGAGACCTTCTCTTTGATTTATATTGTACAATCCTCTGAAGGCCGAAACATTGCGAAGTGTGGTAGCAAAAAAAAAAAAAAAAGGCTAGTGTAACACGAGCACTTTTAATCGTGATTACGCGTATTTCAGAAAGAATTTCTTAGACATGATTGGCTACTTCACGCAAGGTGCAGAATGAATCCAATCACTGCTGAGAAATTTTATCTCGACCGGGCTTAATCGGCGTGTGGCACCGGTATCTACTCGTGTCCGCAATATTAGCCAGCGTCAAACGACTTGGACAGCTGGTCTAATTTGATTACCTTCATACCTCAATATAAAGCAAAGAAAGTTTTTCTTATAAGCAAGTTTTGTCATCACGTTTCTTGTTTTAAGGAAAAAAAAATATTTGTTAAAGTTCCCCAACGGCAAATTTTTGCTATTTGGTCTTCAAACCTTCCTATTTGCCCCGCCGTGGTGGTCTAGTGGCTAAAGTACTCGGCTGCTGACCCGCAGGTCGCGGGATCGAATCCCGGCTGCGGCGGCTGCATTTCCGATGGGGGCGAAAATGTTGTAGGCCCGTGTGCTCAGATTTGGGTGCAAGTTAAAAAACCCCAGGTGGTCGAAATTTTCGGAGCCCTACACTACGGCGTCTCTCATAATCATATGGTGGTTTTGGGACGTTAAATCCCACAAATCAATCAGCAATACTACAAAAGAAATGAAAACATAGAGCAATTTCGCAAAATTTATTGAGGTGACAGAACTGCAGAAATATTAGCGAGTTTTCGAATATAGGAGGAAGAGGACAAACGAAAGAGGAAGGACAGGGAATAGCGTACCGCAAACCCTTGCGGCGCGGTCGCTGCCACTGCGCATGCGTCGTAACGCGAACCGGCCGCAAGCAATTCGAAATAGCGTTCGGCCCACAAGTCGCACAAAGCCCCTTTGCGGTGAGCAATCACGTATCAGAGTTTGCGGGGCCAAAGGCTATCCGAAAATTCATATGGCACCCGTACGCAAACACTACTCCCGCAACGCCCGCTAACTTAGTGTACGCTATTCGAAAACTCCATATATTACTGAACTTCGAACTCCTTACTTAAACACCGAGTTCGGTATTCAAAAAACGAGTTCAGTATTCAAGCGAGAAAGGATAATCTCGGAATAAGTGTTCTGACAAGCGTCACTCGGACGACATTATGCTAAATTGAAAAGGCTCCCACAGGAGGAGGAAAAATTTTTCTGTCCTAAATATTCTAGCACTTCACTGTCTTTAATGCAATAAATGAGCACAATTTGTTTCGAGCCCTTTCAAGGTGGTCACGAGTGGCTGGGACGTCTGGCATGGAATGACCCGCGTCTATGCAGTGTGTTCTTATAAGAACCCACTGCATAGCGTGTTATAAGAACACACTGCATAGAGTCACCGTAACTGATAGGTTACGGTGACTCTTTTTCCACATTTTCTCTTCAGGCTGGCCGAACAAGACGACGCCGCCATCATTCCACTGCTGAGGTCTGGCTACAACAGGGTAACTATTCTCTCCCGCCCTTATTGAAGCTTGCGCCGCGGCGTTCTAAGTGGGTGCCGCTTTAGGGGGCCGGCTGTCTTATGCTGTCGTGGTCGCTTGGCGTAACGCTCCTTCTGTGGCCCATTGAGCGCTCGCTCGCGCTAAGGAGAAGTTCTCTTTCTCTTTTTGTTCGAACGCCTTGACAACAGCACGAAGAATTATTGAGGCAGTTGTGTCCGTCCTCCTGATATGCGACAAAGAATCTTTCTGTTGGACTCCGTGGTAGTATATATTGCAATGAAGTCTTAATGGTGGGTCACGCATGTTTTGAGGTATACGCAGGTGAAAGGGTCCAATTTCTTTGTTTGTTTATAAGTTACGGCAATTATACTGTGAAATGTAAAATATGTGTTCTCCGTGAGCAATGTTATCCATATTCCGAGGTGTAAATTGCCAAAAACATCGCTGATAGAGACCTTCGAGAGATACGTAGTCAAATAACTAAAGCTACCAGTGACGGCTGCATACTTTGCATCCATTGCATGTGCATGAAGAGGCGGGTGCCAAGGGTGTGACCGCTTCCCACCTAGTCACCTAAGAGGGGGGGGGGGCGCAAAGTTCGCCCCATGCATTGACTTAATACAGAAAAGAGATTTCTTCGCGGTGTGCCAACAAGACGCCGGGTGAAGACTTCGAGGGCTCGGCGCCCTACAGGTACGAGGTTCCGTTATCAAAGACTTGGCTAGTACGCGACCACTACGGTGGTTGGTAGCCATCGCCACGAGCCTTATGCTCGTCCAAGTGCGTTAAACCACATGAGTGATACTGCAGGACACAATGAAAAGCCTGGGGGCTTACAGGTGCGTCCAAGCATCATAAAGCCGGCACGTTTGCAAATTCACAACCGCGAAATGGCTCCAGCGAGCACAGCAGCATTGGAAGACGATGAAGCTGAGAGCAAGAAGCCTCGCTTAGAAGAGAATCCTCTCGACGATAAAACGTCAACTTATTACCTAAGTGATGAAGAAGACAAGGGCGAACATGAACCATTTACGTTGGTTACCTATAAAAAGAAATGAGCAGAGGGTATCCCAGTCGTCTTTCGTCCAACAGCTGAAGGTGCTAGCTTCTGGAAAGTGAACCCCAATCGAGTGTCAGCTGAAGTAGTTTCCGCTGCTAAAGAAAAAGTGCAGTCATTCAGAACGACCAGAGATGGAAGGTTTAGTGTCAGCGTTGCTTCCTTAAGTTCAGCCAAGCGTCTTCTGATGCTTTCAAATTTAGGTGGCTTGGAAGTTAAGCCTTTCATCCCAGAGTCATACACTCGGAACGTTGGGAAAGTAATACATGTTCCTCTGCAGTATTCAGATGAACAACTCCTAGAGTACTTGAGAGATGCAGGGGTTATATCGGCGCGACGGCAAATAAAATACTACCGCCAGGAAGATGGAGGAGTAACGTCGCGTCCACTTCACTCAGTGATTCTGACTTTTCGAGATGACCGCCCGATTCCAGGAAGAATCTACTTAGGATTCACCAGTCACCCAGTGGAAGATTATCTTCGTTCAGCACTTCGGTGCTATAACTGCCAGCAATTAGGACACATGGTGGAAAGTTGCCGTAACACACGCCGGTGTAAGATCTGCTCAGAAGAACACCATCATAAGGAGTGCAAGTCTGTTCTTCAGCCTAAGTGTGCAAACTGTGCAGGTAATCACGCTGCCTCATATTCAGGCTGCCCGCAAAGTAAAGCTGCTGCAAAAATGCGTCGGCACGAGCTCATTCATGGAAGAAAACCACGCCCCAATGAACCATCTCCAAACCTTGAGATTGTTCAGCCTTGAGATTGTTCAGAGCCACCAAGAGCACACTCGAGAGACCACTCACGAGAAGTACCTTCAAGTAACCCAACATACGCGTCAAAGTTGCGAACGCCAGCGGGACCTCTACCGGAAAGTAGCAAAACCGACAGTGCCAGTGTTCGCCCCAACTACAACATCGAAACGTCACGTCATTCTCAACAGGCCTCAGAAAATCAACCATTCAATGGAGACCGTGCCTCTGCACCAGTCATGCAGTTTGATTCTGCCAATGCTTTTCGTAGCACTTAAGGCAATCTTGTCTGCTCGGCCGGAAGCAAACAACCTGCCAGAAGTAAAAGCCCTGCTGCCTCTGGAAGCACTATTGTGTCAACACTCCGGGTCAAACCTGCGGCAAGTAACATATGAATAAGCGCTACAAAGATGTCTCCATATACCAGTGGAATGCCAATAGTCTTCGAAGGAAGTGCGCTGACTTCCGTAAACTCCTTCTGCAGTATAATTTTCCAATACTTTGCATCCAAGAGGCAGGAATGAATGATGATTTCCGCCTCTCCAACTACGTGATATATAAGTCATCTCGTCGAAGTGGTCCTAGCAGAGTACATTTGTGCATCAGAAAGGACCTACCTTCTCATCAAGTTCACTCAAGTGATTCGGACTTCCCGGAATTCGTCGCTTGCAAAGTATCCTTTGGTGAGCAGTGCGTTACAGTGATCAATTTTTACCTACAACCTTCAAGCCGCATTTTGGTAGAAGAGCTAACAAATATCTTCAACATTTCTCATTCATACACGTTTATATGCGGAGACTTTAATGCGCACAATATAATCTGGGGTAGTGATCGATGTGATGCACGTGGGGACATTGTTGAGTGTGCTGCAGACAAATGCAATTTGACAATTTTAAATGACGGCTCCCCAACTTTTGTCCGAGGGCGTAATTACTCTAGTTGCATCGATGTAACCTTGTGTTCCCAAGATCTAGTGAATGATGTGGTATGGACAACGGATGTAGAAACACGTGGGAGTGACCATTTTCCCATTCTAATAAATCACCCCTACTTGCGAAAAGACGACACCAGACGCTACAGCAAACTGACGAACTGGAAAGCTTTTCGGCACCAGCTAACAAACCAAAATAGTGACCTCACGACAGTTGAAAGCTTTACTGAATTTCTGCAAGATAATGGGAATAAATGTACAAAGAAAGTCCCGATTCCAAAAGACTATGCTGCAGTCGATGGAGAGTATCAACATCTAAGAGCCATCAGACGACGTTCAGAAAGGGCATATCGACGCAGCGGAAGTTTAGAAGCATACAAAAATGCACAGAAAATCCACAGTGTAATGCGCAAACGGCTAGAAGTTTTAGGTAAACGACGCTGGCGTGATTTCTGTGGCACGCTCTCTCCCCACACACCTGTTCCAAGAATTTGGCTTGTAATTCGAGCACTTAGTGGCCCTGTTTCACAGAGCTTCCCATTTCGTGCTCTTGCTGTAGCCTTGGACAAACCGGAAGCTGTGGTAGCAGATGAATTTTGTCAACTTATCAGTAGACCCGCCGCATCACAATGTGCATTATTTTATAATTCTGTCGTGTTAGCCAACCAGAAAATAATGCTAGCTTTTTGGCCCAGCATCCTCAACTAGACCCTGTATTTACGTTAAGGGAGCTGCATTGTGCTATAGCATCATGTCGTCAAAAATCGGCCCCTGGACCGGACGGCATTACGTACAATATGCTAAAGAACCTTGGGCCCACAGGAACAACTATTCTCTTAGATATTTACAATAATCTATGGACGCAAGAAATTGTACCCGAGTCTTGGAAATCTGCTCGCATCATTCCGATCCTAAAACCGGCTAAGACGCTCTTGAACCTTGAATCCTTCCGTCCAATCACTCTGACAAGCTGTTTATGTAAGGTAATGGAAAAATGATTGATGCGCGACTTCAATGGTGGTGCAACAGAACTGGTGTATTCTCCAACTACTTGACAGGTTTTAGGAAACAGAGATGCACAATGGATGCAATACTGGACTTAGTAACGTATGTGGAGCATGAACGCGCCTGTGGTAGTTTGACGGTCGCAGTGTTCTTGGATATCAAAAGGGCATTTGACACAGTCAGTCACACTCATGTTCTGCTGAGTATGTTGGAACATGGACTGTCCGGCAGGTCTTTGCGATGGGTATCCAAATTTTTATCAGGTCGTAAAATATTCATTCAGACGAGCGAAGGAAAAAGTGCAGAACACGACGTCAGACAGGGAGTGCCACAAGGAAGCGTACTCAGCCCTTTTCTTTTCAACTGTGTTATGGCTGATTTAGCTAAAAGACTGCCTTCCAGGTTGAAATACTCCTTATATGCAGATGATGTGTGCATTTGGGCATCTGGCACGGACATACGGTTAATTCAGATTGCATTGCAGGACGGAATAAATATTATCAACAACTTTTTAAAAGAAAGAGGAATGATTTTATCGCACGCAAAGACAGCTGTATTGCCCTTCACCCGTAAGAAGTTAAAGAACTTCAATCTCAATTCAGAAGAAGAACCACTAATGATTGTGACACAGCATCGGTTTCTCGGAGTAATACTGGATAGGCAGTTATCATGGGCACCTCACATTAAGAAACTCGAAAACGAGGTGAATACGCTAGTGAATATACTCCGCAGAATTGCTGGGACATCATGGGGTGGATCTGTATCATCCATGCTCGCTGTTCACAATGCTTTAATACGACAAAAAGTTGCATATTCTGCAGCAGTGTTACACGGCCTTTCCCGCACTTCAGAGGAGCGACTTCAAAGACTATTAGCTAGGGGACTGCGCGTCTGCATAGGTGTTCCACGAGCGACTTCCAGCAGCCTTGTCATAGCAGAGACTCGACAACCACCCTTTCCAGTCATGAGAACAATTGAAATATGCCGCGATTTTTTTCACTTACAGACGCAACACAGGGACCACCCATTGGCACAGGAGATTTTACTAAGAGATAAAAGCAATGCTCGTAACGAAGTACAGAGTAATGTACATATATTACCCAGACATGAATTTTGGAACTCTGAAATGGACTATCCTCCATGGGTGCTTGTTATACCAAGCATTGAATTCTCAGTGGATGGCATTATCAGAAAGAGAGACATGTTCATCCAAGCTGCTCAACAACTAGCGCTTTATCAGATACACATGCGGTATCCAGGGTACATACATATTTACACAAATGGCTCAAGTACTACAACGTCTTCAACATCGGCATTTATCATACCACAGCTCAATATTCAGGAATTGTTTAAATTATGTCGCATGACGTCATCTACTACATCTGAGCTCTTCGCTATTTTCTATGCTCTAAAGTTTATAAACTCGGTAGCAGACGCTAGAAAATGGGTAATTTTTAGTGACTCACAGGCCGCATTAAGATCCCTCTCCAGTACAAACAGGACAGTAATAAGTGATAGTATGACATACGAAACGCTGAAGGAGCTCACCAAAGCAAAGAGGGCGCAACATGAGATCAAATTCCAGTGGATACCTGGCCACTGCAACATTCCTGGAAACACAGCTGCCGATGAAGCAGCACGACAAAGCACATCGTAAAAACGTTACTGTTTCTTTACCAATTTCGAAAAATGAATTGTGCAGTATTATAAAGAATACAAGTTTCAGAATGAGCAAAACTGCTTGGTTTGACCAAAGTACAAAGAGCTGCGATTTATATCACATCGATCCATGTATTGAATTCAAAATTACGCTGGCATTAGATAGAAGGAAGGAACTTCTAATTCACCGATTGGGGCTAGGCACCGCATACACAAAACATTTTTTGCACGGAATCGGCAGAGCTGAAACTCCCGAATGCGAATGTGGATTTATAGATGAAGACGTCTGTCACCTTCTCATAGACTGTCCACATCATGACACGCCGAGACGCCGTCTTAAGTGCGAACTGTTCGCATTGGACCACAGTCCATTTAGCATGAAAAAACTTCTGGGCCCGTGGCCGACTGGAGTTTTACAGTCCCACGCTTTAAAAGCATTAACACGTTTTTTACAAGACAGCGGGATTGCTGACAAGTATTAACAAAGAACAAACCTTCATTTGTAACACATGTACTTATTATTTACAGTATCATGTGACACCCATCACGTGTGTGTTGTGAAATGAATGACGTGTCGACTATTATGTACATACGAGCGAATGCATCTTTATAAGGACCAGACGTGTGCTTTGCTGTTTTGTGCTGGTGGACCGAATATTAACGAGGGACATTTCCAGAGACTTCTTACATTGGCTTTCGAACATTTACTTACCATTGTGATATGTGCGTATAAGTGTGTCTTTGCATATCTGTGCCCGAGTTTTCTATTTTCCATGCACTGCTTTGTATGTTTTGCTTCAAGATACGTGTTCAAGTTTCAATGAACGGCTAAGGAGTAGCCGGCACCATAATGGTGCGCCAACATCTCCTTATATATGATATCAATAAAAAAAATACAGAAAAGAGGCGCTGCCCCCCCCCCCCCCCCTCGAAAGACGAACCCTGCCCACGCTTAATGTTTGCATCCCTCGTGTCTTCCGCAGCGTACTCCATGTAAACAGTATGCGTGTACTGATCGAGAAGATGCTGAAAATAACTCTGGATGTTGCCGTGACGCCGCTGGACACGAACATTTTGAGCGTAAAATTGCACACTCTGCCGTGTGTGCGTATACCTATAAGGCATAATCTTTAGGTGCGATAGCGCGCTTAAGCGTTCTGTATTCGCGCTTCCAATTGCGCAGTGGTTTTCGGAATCGTGCTCCTTGGGCGTGTGCTTGAACGAGATGATCCAGATAGAGCACAATGACCTGGTCAACCTGTGGAAGCTCATGGCTTCCGAGACCCTTTTCTCCGCGCTGCACCATACGCGGGACAGTGTCATCGTCACCGGACCAAAACACGAGATACAGGTGGGCACTCACCAAAACGATTGCTAAGTGTTCTTGCAGCGTTTCGAGGATTTTGGAGCATGACAATGAAATGCTGCATGCGCTGCACATTGGCAAAAAAAAAAATGTTTGTTGATGCAACGTTTGAATCGTCTTACATCAGCAACTGTAATTTGTTTAAGTTTCGCGTCGAAACGATACCGCGGGCACGCCAGAATGACTGCATAGATTGCAAAACATAGGTGGTTGTTGGTTCGTAAACATAAAAATAACACCCCTCCATAAGGGAAATGGGGATTTTCAAGTGTGTGAAAATCCCATGTGTTGCTGAACAACAAGGTATCTTCTGCGGATGGGTGCGTTTCCATTTCGGTTGCTCTTCGCAGTTCTTGAAACTCAAATCATGACGAAGTTTGTTTTAACCGGTAATGTCTTCAAGTAAGTGCATTATTTTGCTGCTTTATGAACACAGAAACACGACAAATCACTTGGCTGCTCGATAATGCTGTCATACTCATCTATTCAGCATGATAACTGGCAGCGAATCAGCGATGAGTTAGTGGGTCAGAATTTTATAATAATAATAATTTTATTTGCACACCATTGTGAATCTTCGGGTGATGTGCGAGGCTAGATAGAAGGGAAATTCTCATACGCGCGTGCGTTTGCTAGCTCGGGCCAGCGTGCGCATACGAGAATTCACTTTTTCTAGCCTCTCACGTCACTCTATATATGGTTCAAACTGCTGTGCAAATAAAAATTATTATTAAAAATTGCATGCTAGTTTGTCAACTTGGCTATACGGTTTTCTGGTGAGACTGTTTGCTTTCCGAATGAGCGTAATGCTCCAAGATTACCTAATGTTTCCATCGGTTTCAATGGTCTCGAAAGGTTCGAAAGCAGTAGTGTTATATTCAACGCTACCAAGTTATGTTCTTGTTTGTGGAGTTTTCCTCTGTTGCAACATCATTTCGCAAAAAAAAAAAAACATATATACAGGCGAAGATACATTACAGCCGTTGTTTGCAAATGATCAGCGTATCCAGTTGGGCTAGTCGGTTCATAGATCGCGCAGCGGAACGACGCAGTAATCTGATGAAGACGAAATGAGGCACGTGCTGTCCATTAGTTCCTCGCGTGGTTCTTCATCATTGTTTCATTTGTTGAAGTTCTCCTGTGCGATATCTGCCGAGAATCAGAAACTTAACGTCAATTCCTATTCCGTTGGCGAAGCAGAAAAAAAAAAAAAGATGGCGTCCACATCATCCCACGAGGGAACTTGAGTAAATGTGTCGCAGAGTGGTGGGGGTATCACGTGAATGCTGCGTCATTGGGTATGGTTTGGGATTGATCAAATGTTATTTGATTGATTGATATTTGGGGTTAACGTCACAAAACCATTATATCATTACGAGAAACGCCGTAGTGGAGGGCTTCGGAAATTTGACCATTTGGGGTTCTTTAACGTGCACCCGATTAAATGTTATTTCGTCTTTATCATTCTTATCATTATTGAATGAAGGAGAAGAGCAGGCAAGGGGTATAAAGTTGAAGTGTGCTTATTGCTTGGTGCCGTAATTGTATTGGACGGAAAAGAGGCGCCATTGACTGAATTCCGAACGCGCGCTCCGCCGCTTATATACGCAACGCCCTCGATCGAGGGAGAGGAGTACGGGGAAGAGGACTGCGAAGACGCCCCTGACTGTATTCCGAACGCGCGCTCCACCGCTTATATTGTCGCAGTACAACGCGAACAAAGTACAAGTACGCCTTGAGGCAGCGAAAGCAGCGTGTTCTCAACAGCTGAGCCACAAGATCTTCTTTGTTGTTGAGTCAAGCCAGAGGCCCACTACTTGGTGTCTGCTAAATCCCCACATCATCGTTGTCGTTCACACGCAGACACGGGTCATTTGCCTCCCTATCAAAGAGCATCGACCCGATGCGAAGTCAATAATGCAGTTTTTTTTTAAAGAAAAGTCTCACGCAATCACTCGCTGACGTAAGGCTTCATGCGCACTACGTGAACGAGTTCTGGATGGTGCTGGCGACGATTGGTACTACACGAACTGTCGGGAACAACTTCGTAAGTAACCTCACTCAGTTGTCGCAGCACTCGGTAAGGCCCAAAGTATCTTCTTAAAAGCTTTTCAGAAAGTCCTCGTTTCCGTACGGGTGTCCAAACCCATACTTTGTCGCCAGTTTGGTAGACGACTGTTCTGCGGTGAGCATTGTAGCGGCCTGCATCGTACTCTTGTTGTTGGCGGATCCGTAAACGTGCAAGTTGCCTAGCTTCCTCCGCGCGTTCCGTAAACGTGTTGGCGTATGGGTCGATGCCGTCACCTTCGTGCGGTAGCATCGCATCTAACATAGTTCGTACTTCTCGTCCATGAACGAGGCTGAACGGGGTCAGGCGCGTCGTTTCTTGCTTTGCCGTATTGTACGCAAACGTTATGTACGGCAAGATTTCATCCCAATTTTTGTGTTCAACGTCTACGTACATCGAAAGCATGTCTTCAATGGTTTTGTTTAGACGCTCTGTCAGCCCGTTCGTTTGTGGGTGGTAGGCGGTGGTCTTACGATGCGCTGTTCCACTCAGCATGAGGACGTGATCCAAAAGAGCTGCCATAAATGCGGCTCCTCTGTCTGTGATCACGACGGATGGTGCACCATGCCTCAGTACAATGTTCTCGATGAAAAATGTTGCCACCTCTGCTGCTGTACCTCTCTGGATAGCCTTTGTCTCGGTATAACGGGTCAGATAATCCGTCGCGACGATAACCCAGCGGTTCCCTGCTGTAGAAGTAGGCAGTGGGCCCAAAATGTCCATGCCGATCTGGTAGAATGGAGCTGTTGGGACCTGTACGGGTTGCAGGAGGCCAGCTGGTTTAGTCGGTGGTGACTTGCGTCGCTGGCAGTCGAGACAGGCACGGACGTGGTGCTTCACGGCTGTGGTTAGTCTCGGCCAGTAATACTTTTGCTGTATTCTGGCCAACGTTCTCGTGTAACCCAAATGGCGAGAGCTCACCTCGTTGTGGCATGCTTGGAGTACTTCGGTACGAAGGGCTGCTGGGATGACGAGCAGATAGGCAGATCCCGTCGGCGAAAAGTTTCTTTTGTAGAGTACTCCGTCCCGTAAACAAAATGATGACAACACTCTTGTGAAAACTCTTGGCGCCTTCTGAGATCTGCCATCCAAGTAGTTAATTAGGCCAAGCAACTCAGTGTCGTCACGTTGTTGCTGCGCAATGGCGGTCGTGTCGAGGACACCGAGAAATGCCATTTCCTCCTCTTCAGGTAGGGTTGCCGACTCAATGGGTGAACGGGACAGACAGTCGGCGTCCATATGTCGCTTGCCTGACTTGTGTACGACTACAATATCGAATTCTTGCAGCCTGAGACTCCAACGTGCTAATCGCCCGGTAGGGTCTTTTAGACTTGTTAACCAGCACAATGAGTGGTGGTCGCTAATTACTTTGAAGGGGCGGCCATATAAATACGGGCGAAATTTTAAAACCGCCCATACCACGGCGAGACATTCCTTCTCAGTTGTAGAGTAATTGGCCCCAACACGTGTTAATGTTCTGCTTGCGTAAGCGATTACCCTCTCTGTGCCCTCTTGCTGCTGCACAAGCACAGCTCCCAGACCAACATTGCTCGCGTCTGTGTGAAGCATCGTCGGGGCTTCTTCATCGAAGTGGGCAAGCACTGGGGGCGTTTGAAGACGTTGACGCAGGTCATTAAAGGCAGCCTCCTGTTCTTCGTTCCACTCAAAAGCAACGTCGTCTCTTGTGAGACGAGTTAGTGGCGACGCGATGCGGGCAAAGTCTGCGATAAATCGGCGATAATAGGCACAAAGGCCCAGGAAGCGTCTGACAGCCTTCTTATTGGAGGGTACTGGGAACCGTGCGACAGCGGCAATTTTTCCAGGATCGGGTCGGATGCCTACGTTACTGACGACGTGACCGAGAAACTGAAGTTCGTGGAAACAGAAATGACACTTTTCCGGTTTCAATGTTAGGCCCCCAGACCGTATGGCACGTAACACCACTTCCAGCCTTTGGAGATGCTCGTCAAAAGTCGTTGAAAATACTACAACGTCGTCCAGATAGACTAGGCACGTCTTCCACTTCAATCCCGAAAGTACCGTGTCCATAAGCCTTTGAAATGTCGCGGGCGCGGAGCACAAACCGAAAGGCAAGACTTTAAACTCGTATAAACCATCTGGCGTCACAAAAGCGGTTTTCTCTCGGTCTCTTGGGTCTACCTCGATCTGCCAGTATCCACTCCTCAAGTCCATGGAAGAAAAGTAGCGAGCGTGCCGAAGTCTGTCAAGGGAGTCATCAATACGTGGGAGCGGGTACACATCTTTTTTGGTCACCCGATTCAGCTTCCTGTAGTCCACGCAAAAACGCAGCGTGCCGTCCTTTTTCTTTACTAGCACTACAGGCGATGCCCAGGGGCTCTGTGACGGTTGAATTACATCATCTTCAAGCATTTTCGCGACTTGTTGTTGTATGGCTTCGCGTTCCTTTAAAGCTACACGATAAGGGTTCTGGTGAATAGGTCTCGCCGTGTCCTCGGTGATTATTCGATGCTTTGTCAAAGGTGTTCGACCAACTCGTGAGGTCGATGAAAAGCAGTCGTGGAATTCGGCTAGTAGCTGAAGAAGTCTCTGTCGGTCATCCTCGGCTTATAGACACACCGCCCGTGTTCGAGGGAGACCAGACGAGACACGAGACGAGCCGGGCATGCGCAGTGGAGGTGTGGATGGCGCCGACGCCGAAGCGCGACAGCGTGCGTTGAAGAAATGCTCCGCATTAAAAAAAAAAAAATATGGAGGCAGCTTCGCACTAGTAACCCAAAGCCCGAAAAAAAAAAATATGGAGCTGGGCGGCCTACTTTGTTTCTCTTTAGCTTACCATTTCTTTGTTCCTGTATCTGTTTTTGTCTTCTACGTTTTTTTTTCTTCTGCCTTTTCTTCTCCGTTTTTTTACTCTATTCATTATTTCTCGCTGTCTCTCTCTGTAATGCGAAAATCTCCCCTAACTGCTCGGCATTGCGATCAGCTTGCCACTTCTCTCAGTTTGATAGTGGAGGTGCCCCCGCTTGCGCGTTTCAGCAAGGAGGCATCACGTAAAACGAGACAGACTGCTTAGAATGTATCGCAAGTCCACACCTTGCGAAACAACTCCTGGCGGTCCAGGGAGTCTGTGAAGCGATCGGGAACCTTTGGTCTACGACCCCGTCACGGGTGCAGCCCTCGGTGGGTTTCTTGGGGGAACCTTCTTCCTAGCACGCAAATAAAGTTATTCTGTCTGTCCGTGTCTCTCTCTGTATTTCTATCTATTTCCCTTTCCTCCTTGCTCTTTCTATATTTTTCTCTCGCTTTTCTTTCTCCCTTTCAGTTCCTTCTCACTCGCTTCCTCTTCCTTTCTATTGTTTTCTTTCTCTCTCTCTGCTCCATTTATTTCTATTTCTGTGCAGAAATATGCTGAAAAATATGGTTCAATCGAAACCTAAATGTGAAGCACCCGTAAAAGCGTTCAGCACAATCGTAAAGCAACTTAATTTGTGTTACAAAAGAGATACACAGCACTGATGTGCGTTGAAGCCAAGAGACTGATCTGAGGCGAATTCTCCGGAGGTGCCGGAAACCAGGACGCCCCTCGAAGTCGCATTTTAAGTGTTCCATGTGCAATGTCTTTCTTTTTATGGCTCACTAAAGCATTTTTTTTTTTGCTTTTCGCAAGGGAAATAGACGGGAAACAAAGAATCGCACTGCGAGAAATTCATCACATCATAATTGCACTCTTGTTTTTTACGACCCTTCGGATTTACCTCCGTCGCCAATATTGGTTGTTGCGTTATGCACGGGAACGTATGCTTCTCTAATACGTAATTACTCTTGACTAAACGAGAGAAGGTGTATAGTTGCAGTGAGTGCTCTTTATCGCGCGATACGCAGTACATGAACAGCGCCGCGGAAAAGTTTGTCGGCTTTTCGGTCGAGGAGATGCTGGGAAGAGACGCCCGCGATCTGTACGAGCTTTCGTTGCTCAGGCCGGACGTCGCAGGAGGCATAGGCACGCTGCTGAGCGAGGGAAAGGAGTGGCAGGGAACTCTGCTACAGAAGCGCAAGGGCGGAGAGAGCGTGCCCGTGCTCAGCAAGATCACTCCCATCGACATAAACACTGTCGGGTAAGTGACCGCTTTGTTGCCCGTGCACTGCAGTTCGGCTTTTCAATACGCGCCAAATATGCACGATGGGAATCGTTCACCCACAGAAAAAGATCCGGATTGACAAGTGTGTGTTCGGCGAAGGATCGCATTATTCAGGCAAATCAGAAAGTGTTTCGCACAACTAACCTCTCCACATGCTTTCAGTAGATACGAAGAAACATTTTATTCAATGGAGGTAGCAGCGGCATTGCATAGAGTACAGAATGCAAACGCAAACATCTCATTAAATAAATAAAAAAAAAACAGATCCATCGCCAGTGCGAAGAAATGAATGCGATAGCAACAAGTTATGCTATATGAAGTAAGGCTGGCAGCTATTTTGGATCCGATCTCGCGTAACACTACAAAAATTTTGTGTAACAGAATACGGCCGCCCCAGAGAGAGCAACACTTTCCTCACGGTCTCTTCTCGTTGAGAGCACAGCGCTTAGAAGGGTATGACGACGTGCTCGCTGGATGACTGTCGACATAACGCGTGCTCCAGCGATCGCGACCGTGGCCTAATAATCCAAGTCCGTGCCTTCCAAGTTCACTACTGATAAAGCTCGAGCAACCCCCTTCCCTTCCCCCCTGCATCTTCATGCTCGTTCTAGGCGAGCGGGGCATTACTTTCGCTGCTCGAGCAGCATTCGACGGCAGGCCTATAGAACGCGTAAGCATGTAACCGCATGCGCCCATCGAGTGACGGGGATGGGTCGACTCGTACGGTCTCTGCTTCAGCCACGTTCGTTACCCCCGCTCACATGCTCTTAACGCCGAGAGAGTCCGTATAATAGCTGTCAAAATAAAGGAAGACTCTACAATTGACTCAGTTCTGCACGTGAAAAGCAGTGCACATTTGACTCGTGATACCTGTCTCGCACGTGTGCACAAGTTCGCATGTAGAGTATAGCGTACATATAGAGTATATGTTTACGTCTGCAGCGGTACACAAAGCTCAAGGGAGGGAAAAAAACTGTACTTTATGTTTAGTCAGTTAGTGCATCGTTATTTAAAAGATGTAGCGCGAGGTTAGAAAGAAAAGCTGTCTCTTTTTCTTTCCTCACAGTTGTAATCTTGCACCACACCTTTCAAGAAAAAAGTGTCATCGCAACTATACTTTGGCCTGCATAGGTTGTAAACTAGTGCACGGGCACATTGCATGTAGAAAATTTTAAATGGGGCAAATTCAGCTGCTATTCTGAGCTAAAATATAACCATTTGAGATGAGCTATGGAATGTTATCGTGATAAACCAACCAACAATGAAAGAGCAATGCACTTTAGGCGAACTCAGCCGACAGATTTTTAATATTGTGTTCCTGCAGGAAATCAGACTACATCGTGTACGTGAAGGAGAACCCATTCTTCATGGACAAACCGTTCTCGGCTGACATGGGTAAGTTTTCGTCTCTTGTTTGGCGTGTGGGCATGCGCCATCAATTTTGGAGCATAGTAAGTACATGAGACGCGCGTAATCTTGTCAGCTAACCATGTACCGGAAGGCATACTAGTGCTATTCCTAACTTCAACATAAGTGTGTGAGTGCGACTACCACATAATCTATTAGGGCAGCTCACATGAGGTATGCACCAAACTCTTCAGTTTACTGCAACAAAAATTTACATTCTCTTAAATTATTTGTGCGACAATGTATTTTCAAAAACTCAAGATATAATTATTTTACATGCGCGAAGTGTTACAGCTCGCCGACCCACTTTGTTTTTCATCACTACAAACACTGGCGCATGCAATAACTAAGATATATAAAGAACAGGCTTATATTCATACGTAACCATAACTTCAAGTACGCCTAATCACTTTGGTTGCACGGAGTCACTGTCTAAAACTGACAACTACCTAATGTATGGGTGCACAGACAATAGCGGAAGCACTAATGCAGTCCGCTTACTTTGTCAACAGTTGGAATCAGCAGACGGCAGTCATTTGCAAAGTTCAACACCATGGTGATTGAAGCACCCGTCACAAAGGTTAGTCTTTAAGATGTACGTAATAATACATGGGGCCAGAAGTTAAAAAGAAAAACTGACGATCTATTTCAGATGTTTGAGTTTTAACCGTTAGAAAGGCACAATTCGGCATTGTTCTAGGTAATTGTTCAGCTCTTGCATACAAGGTCCATAAAAGCGTCACTTTATAACCTCAGAACTTCTGAACGTCTTCATAAAATGCAACAATTATAAGAATAGCGTTTATGTTGTGCTTTATTGATTAGGAACACTTGGTATTTAATACCAGATTTGTAAATCTATTCACTGTTTGCGCTCACTCACTCGTTAATTCATATATTTATTTAGTTATTATTACAATTATTATTAACTTACTTATTTAGTTATTTATTATGTTTTACTGAACTTATTCATATTATACCACGTGTCGTCGTGTGCCATCAGTTACGAGCGAATACCACATGCTTTCATCGATTCGCAAGAACACCGTGAAGGTAAAGAAAAAGCTCGCCGCTGTTCTAGTTTACGCAAGATGGTACAAATGCGTGGCTTTTCGTGCCCTCTGATTAGTCCTTCTCCGAGACCGGCAACTTCATTTTTCAAGCAGAACTGGAGCGCCAGTCCAGTGTGCATAGTTGCGTGTTGCCGGGAGTGAAATTCAAAATGATGTCCATGTAGTTAGGTTAGGGTGCATTTCGAAGATACTAAGAGAAAGTGGGCGTGTAATCTGTAGGAGCTCATAATTAACGAGACAAAACGAATGCCCGTGCTGGTGTTTGGTTCTCTGCTCCTACACATGTTTCCGAGTTTCCACGCCCACTGGGCTTTGTGATTAATGCCTACCGACCAGCTCTGTTTTCTGACGTTCAAAGAATTGCAGGGTATTTTGAGCCGGCACACGCAGTTTCTTTTTTTCCGTACGCGCCAATTTAGATCCTTTCTTGTTTCTAGGAAGCACTTTTTGTTTGTTTCGAAAACGAGAATCACTGCTGCTTCTTCTTACACGTTTGTCTTAACCACCGACAGAGGAGCGAAAAACGAATTCAGAAAAAGTGGAAACAATATTTCTCAGTCAAGAAAAGCGTGCACAAGCATGGGAGGCGATGTTGGAACGAAAAAAAAATAATGCCACACGTGCCCATCTCTTTTCATTTTCATGTTACCGCACCATTATTTAATGCAACACTTGCCTATAGCGCAAAGTGTGCGCTGACTGGGAACTATCTAGATAATGTTAGAACCTTCCGACGAGACCACGTGCAAAACGCGAACACAAAATTTCTGTAGCTTACGCGGCCGATAGCGATAACGTTGGAATCTTCGATGATACTTGTATAAAAGCCGACGCGCTCGGCCACTTGTCAGTGTATCGACGCCCTGTTCGCCGCTATCACTGTACGTACAGCGTGCATTGATGACTTGCAGTTTAACATTGTTTCCCGGCCACAAGTGCGGCGAAATGAGGAGCTGTGTATTTGCGAGTTCTGCTGGAGCTTAATTCATGCAACGTCTCGGTCACGGGACAATGACAACTATCGTTGCCATTTGAAACAAGGCATTTTTCATGTGGTTTTTTATATATGGCTCGTTTTAAAACAAATTGTAACATTCGAATATGAGAAATCGCATTTGGACTATGCTGATTCTATATCGATAAATATCTCCTGAATGGCTGTAGTCCGTACGCTGATTCTGAAACGCAGTTTTTCTTCTACGGTTATGTTTCATGGGGGCCTGAAGAGTGCCGCTCGCGAAACAAACGGACACAACACACGCCATCGTGCGAACGAACTCGTGGACATTTACTGATAGCGTTTACGTTACGGTGATCTCACCAGCCGAATCTGATAAATAACTAGTAACGCGTCAAACAAACATATAATGCCAATACAACACACAAACTACATAACACTTTAAATGTACCACGATTGTTCTGTTGCCGACATTCAACTCACCGCACGAGTGCGTAGAACCGAGCTGAGGGATCACTTTCACAGACTCTGGGTGACCGATGCGGTACCACGGTGGGTGTGGTCCGAAGAAGAAAAAAAACGCCTAATTTCTGCCACCCGGTTTAGAGTGGCGCAATGCCTGCGGGAAGGGGTATGAGAGAAAAGTGGATAGGAGAGAAAAGGGTCAGACGTGTAGTGGCGCATACGTCTTCAGCACGAACAGCAGTGCCACCAGATGGATGGATGGATGGATGGATGGATGGATGGATGGATGTATCCGGCTGTGCGCTTTAGATCGGGGGGTGGCTGACGCCACCTAGCCATAAAGTTAAGCACTATCACTGTGTGTTTAAGGATTGAATTTCACTCGCGCCTCGATGGTAGCCACCAATCAGTCAGCCTCCTCCTGGTTGGTTATTTCTACTCATTTAAAGTCTATTTCGCCTTCACCGTCCTTAAACCCCAATGCGTTGAAAAATTCGGTGCCATTATCCCCGAATATAGGGTGGAGCCCTTTACAGAACATTATCAAATGTTCAGCCGTTTCATCCTCCTTTCCACACGCACTACGTACCGTGTCTGTGCCTTCGTATTTTGCTCTGTACGTCTTGGTCCGCAATCAGCCCGTTCTAGCCTCGAAGAGCAGAGAACTAGCCCGAGAAATATCATAGATCTTTTCCCTTGCAATTTCCTGCTTAAATGTTCGGTAGGTCTCCATTGATGATTCCGTAAGCATTCCCATCTTCCACATGTCCCTCTCTGTTTCCTTCACCTTCTTCTTAGCCGATGTTTCCTTTTGGCTTGGTATTCTGCTGTTGTCTAAATACTTGCTTGACAGTTTTCGAGTTCGCTTCCTCCATTTAGTATACCATTCTACATGTAAAGGCAGCTGAAAACTTTCCTAGCCCAACGCTCCTCTCCCATTTTTCTCCATCGCTCCTCAAATTCTATTTTGCTGCAAGCTTCCCTGCACTCAAACGACGTCCATCCCATGTCACCCTGTACCCCCAAATTTAGGGTATTCCCATGTGCTCTCAAAGCAAGTCTACCTATGTCACGTTGTTTAATTTCCAATCTTGCTTGAACTTCTTATTTGATGCACAAGACCGCATTGCCGAACGTCAAACCCTGGACCATGACGCCTTCCAAAGCCTCTCACAATGTCATACCTATTGTAGTTCCACATTGCCCTATTTTTTATCGCAGCTGTATTCCTGGTGCCCTTAGTAATTACGTATCTTTCGTGCTCCCTTAGATACTCAGCCCCGTTATTCATCCGTACGCCCAAATATTTGTATTGATCCACTATTTCCAGCGTGACTTCCTGTATCTTATGCTCACTGTAATTGTTATCATTAAAAATCATGATTGCCGATTTTTCTCTGCTGTAATTGAAATTTAACCTATATCCCTCATTACCACAGATGTCTATCAATCCCTGCTGATCTTTCTTGTTGTCGGCTATTAATACTACATCTGCATACATCAATGCTGGTAATGACTGTTCAATGTGTTTTCCTTGCTTGGCGAAAGAGAGGCTGAAGTGAAGTTGACTCCCCTCTGATTTGGCTTCTAATACCTGGAGATAAAGCATAAATAACGAAGGTGACAAAGGACATTTCTGTCGAAGCCCACGTTGTATCTCTATATGTTCAGATACCTGTTCTACTCATTTGATAAATACCTTGTTACTTTCATAGATATTCTTTAGAAGATTAGTTATTCCATCTTCCACATCTAGTGTATCCAGTATTCTCCACAAGGCTTCTTGAATCACACTATCGTAAGCTCCCTTGATATCTAGAAATGCCAGCCATAGGGGCTGGTGTTCTTTTCCCGCTATTTAAATACACTGCATCAATGAAAACATATTGTCCTCCAACCTCCTTCGTTTACGGAACCCATTATGTAGTTGTCCTAGCACCTCCTCTTTCATCACCCATGTCTCTAGTCTTTTCTTTATTATCTGCATCACCAGCCTGTAAACTACTGATGTCACTGTTATAGGACGGTAGTTGTTTATATCGGTTTTGCTCATCCTGCTTAGTTTCTACCCAATGGGAGCTTCACCATCCATTATTGCTCTGCTCGCTGCCACTCTAAACCATCTAGGTGAACCACGCGCCCCCCCCCATAACTTGCTTATTTTCCCGTGTCTTGGCATCGAGTGCGTTGTAAAGCAACTTGGTCAGCTGGCCCGAAATAACTGTTTATTAGGTCAAGGGCATATATAAATGCATAGTGTACAAATAGCCGGAAGACTTGCAGGAGCTGCTCACTCGAGAGATGAAACAAGATTAAACATACACCACACACATCACGCGCGTCTTGACCGGCATGTCTTGTGCTCCGGGTAGATGCCAACAGCTGCCGCGTTGCCCGACAGCCAAGTCGGCAACTCCGGTCACATGTTTAGTCCTCTCCAGGCCTTGTGGAACAGGTGCTCCTGGCAGGATTCTGGAGGAACTGGTTGCGCATGATGAAAACCTCGCGGAACGTGTCCGCCATAAAGGCAGTGAGGGCGTACAAGAGATTCGGACCGCCCACCACCATGGCCGCGATCAGAAGGGTCCCCAACACGAAAACAGTGACGGCGGACAGCGCAATTAGCAGGCGCAACAGCATGAACCATCAGAAAAGCTCCACGACACGCAGAATGATGAACTGGATATCTAGAGCTGGAACATCGGACTGGGCAAGTGGAGCCACCGGAACCATTATCGCAGGGGAATCTTGACGGTGGCACGCACGAGGAGCTCCACGACACGCAGCACGATGAGCGTCCAGCGCTGGAACATCGGACTGGGCAAGTGGAGCCACCGGAACCATTCTCGCAGGGGAATCTTGACGGTGACACGCACGAGGAGCTCCACGACACGCAGCACGATGAGCGTTTAGCGCTGGAACATCGGACTGGGCAAGTGGAGCCACCGGAACCATTCTCGCAGGGGAATCTTGACGGTCACACGCACGAGGAGCTCCACGACACGCAGCACGATGAGCGTTTAGCGCTGGAACATCGGACTGGGCAAGTGGAGCCACCGGAACCATTCTCGCAGGGGAATCTTG